CAGCATGGCAAAAGTGACCTTTACTCCAGTTCCCAATGAGTTCCTCATCTCCATCTGAGACTTCCTCAGCCTAGAATTCATTGTCCATATTACAATCAGCATTTTGGTCACAACAATGTAACAAGTCTCTAGGAAGTTCCAAACTTTCCCTCATCTTTCGGTCTTCTGAGCCCTCCACACTCTTCCAACCTCCTTTGGTTACCCAATTCCAAAGCTGCTTTCACATTTGCAAGTATTGTTGTAGCGGTGCCCACTCCTCAGTACCAATTTTCTGTGTTAGTCTGTTCTCACATTGCTATAAAGAAGTACCTGAGACTGGGTAATTTGTAACAAAAGGAGGTTTAATTGGCTTATAATTCTGCAGGCTGTACAGGAAGCATGATGCATCTGCTCAGCCTCTGTGGAAACCTCAGGAAACTTACAATTATGGCAGAAGGCAGAGGGAAAGGAGGCACATCTTTCATGGCTGGAGCAAAAGGAAGAGAGAGTGGAGGAGGTGTTACACAGTTTTAAACAACCAGATCTCATTATAACTCACTCACTCTCACAAGAACAGCACCAAAGGGATGGCGCTAAACCATTCATGAAGGATCCACCCCCATGATCCAATCACCTTCCAGCAGGCCTCACCTCCAACACTGGGGATTACAGTTCAACATGAGATTTGGGTGGGGACACAAATCCAAACCATATCAGTCCTTAACTGAATTTAACACCCATTCAAGATAAAACTCCGTAGCAAATTAATAATAGAAGGAAACCTCCAAAGCCCACAGCAAGTATTACACTCGAGGTGGTTAGCATGGAGGCGGATCACTGCCCTGAATTCCAGATGGAGGAAATAGAGCCTGCAGAGGGAAGAGCAGGTCCAGGGTCATTTAGTGAGTTAGGGGCAGAGGGAGACACCAGGAACATTTAGCCTTCAGTGCATGATTCATCTGCTCATCCTAAGTGCCCAAGAAACACCCTCAGTACAGCCCTAAAACACATAGTTGTGCTTTTTACTTCAAACCACACTGATTTCTATTCGTATAATAATTGGAGAGTACAACACTTACATTTTTTATCTTAAAACTCTTGAGTAACTCCTGCCTCCAGTTTGTTTAGAACAGAGTTAGTGTGTCCTGAGTTGGGAGCAGCTGATAAATCAGATGATGCCGTATTATTAAATGGGTGGTAAGGCAATGCATATGATTATTGCACCCTTACTTGAGTTTGCATTTGAAATGAAGACAGCCTGTTGTTTTGTTCCAGATATTAGACTTGCATTCTGCAATTTGCTCATTCTGTGTAAACCACTTTCCTATTGGGAATGGGCTTTTAGGCTGTTAAACATTCAGGAGAATTAAAAAAGCATGAAATAGAATGCTTTGGAAGAAATTACTCCTAAGAAAACTGTATCAAGTGCACCTCATCTGATGAAAGATTTAGACTCATTTTGCGAACTTGGAACATGTGCAAGGCTTAGTTGGATCAGAGGGCCAAGTGACAATGATAGGCAAATTTAAATGGGATAGACTTACTCCTAACAGATCATGTGACCCCAAACAAATGGTACCCACTGTATTTGCATTTCAGTTTAAATTGTGTGTTTACTTTCCTGAGCCTCACTTGGCATCTTCTTCTTTGTTTATTGTTTTGAGACAGAGTCACTGTCACCCAGGCTGGAGTGCAGTGGTGTGATCTCAGCTCACTGCAACCTCCACCTCCTGGGTTCAATTGATTGTCCTCCCTCAGCCTCCCGAGTAGCTGGGACTATAGGCATGCACCACCATGCCCAGCTAATTTTGTATTTTTAGTAGAGACAAGGCCATGTTGGCCAGGCTGGTCTTGAACTCCTGACCTCAAGTGATCCTCCCACGTTGGCCTCCCAAAGTGCTGGGATTACAGGCGTGAGCCACTGCGCCCAGCCTTGGCATCTTCTGATCTTCCCTCTGCCTTTCTTCCCATGTACCACTGGCCACCATCTGTTGATTCTGCCTGGGTTTTCTCATTTCCACCTTTGGCTGCTCAGCTTCACTAGTCTGATGTATCTAGACCGGAACAACAGAAATAACCTTGATATTAGCCAGCATCAGTGGAGCTCTCGTTATGTCCAAAGCAGTGGGCTAAGTGTTTAAACCTCATGTCCATCCCATGATGTTTTCATACCCACTCTACAGATAGAGGAGCTGAGGCTTAGGAAGGTTAAGTCATTTCACCAAGGTCCCACAGCTGAAAAGCAGACTTTAAACCTCCCTCCAAAGCCCATGCTCCTGTCCTAACTTCAATTTCTGCTTACCTCCCTTTCTCCCTACTCTAGTTACCCCTCTGCACGGTGACCAAGGGGATGTTTCTGAAAAATAAAAGTGATGATTCACAGCCCCATCCCCAGCTCTACATTAAAAAATCCCACCTTTCACCGCTCCCTCTCTCAGATCCTGCATTTTAGCCCTTAGACCTTCTTGCTGCCCCCTGAGCATTGGAGACACATTCAGGCATGTGTCCCTTTGAAGGACCTCTGCCTAGAATGCTTCTGCTGTACCTCCTTGAAGACTCCTCTCCATATTCTAAGACAAACCCAAATGTTACTTCCTCTGTGAAGCCATCCATGATTCCCTCTGGCAGAGCTGGTCTCTTCCAGCTCCCGTAACCCTCCATCCCAAAGCAGATGATGGCATTTCTCATCTCTGCAACTGTTGACATGAGTCTCACCCTCACTAGACAGTGAGTTTTCATGTCTCACTCACCCCTGAATCCCCCAATCTACCTATTATCTCTCTTTCTCTCCCTCTCTCTCTCTGTGTCTTTCTTCCCCTCCATCCCTTTTCCCTCCCTCCATCCACGCTTCCATCCATCATCAACATCTGTATATCCATTCATTCAGCAGATACCTGTGGAGTGATTACTAAGGGCATTAGAGCTGAGTGATGGGACCCAGAGTCAGAGACACCTGAAATCACCCCGACTCTGCCTCTTGCCCAGCTCTGTGATTTCAGGAGATTCCATTATAGTCTCTTACTTCAGTTACCTTATATATAAAATTAGATGACAAAAAAATTCCTATCTTGTGTTATTTTTTGAAGATTAAACCACTAATACATGTAACTTTTATAATCTGCTGATACAATCTGGCACCATATTGGCATTCAGTAAATGCCAGCTGCCGTCATCCCCCTCATCATTGTCATTGTTATTATTGTTGCTGTTTCTTCTTCCATGAGCCGTGCACTGTGCTGACTGCTGGGGAGAAAGGAGAACACGTCAGCGATGCCCCTGAGTCCCTGCCCTCAGCATTTAAAATCTGGCGAGGAAATCAGCTGTTAGGGAAGACAATTCCAGAACCAAGTTTTGGATTCCAGTTGTGCCAGGTGGCAGGCAGGTGGAAGGGTGCAGGGGTTTGGGGACGCCATCAGCAGATTATAAACCATGGGACATATTTCCACCTTATATTCTATTCCTGACCAGGGCTCTCCTGGTGCTTGAAAAGCTCTGTATGTTCCACTGTTCCTCTGGTGACACAGACAGGCTCAGATGTGAGCCTCCCTTCTCCTCGAGGTGGGCTGGGGCTGGCATCTGGGTAGAAGTGGGATCTCTGCCTCCAGCTCCTGGCCGTGCTGACAGCATGACAGCACATACTGCTGGAACTCCACTGGACTGTGTTTCCTTGTGGGATGCTGCAGCGAGAGGGATAGTCATAGTTCCACATCGCAGCATACTACGAGCCCTGCTCAGGAGTTCTCGAAGGCTCAGCACCCAAATGCCTGGGTAGGATAGAAGGCTCTCCATGCTACCAAGAGATGCAGTCTGTCTCTGGCTGATTTTCTTCTGTCATGGTTCTTGGATAGTGTTTCAGTCTTTAGGGGGCTTTGAGACCCTTTTGAGTGTTTGATGCAAGCTTTGGCCTCTCTGCAGAAAGGCAGACCATTTTGTACCTATTTAGGAGGATCAAGGACCATCCTCCCCTGGTGAAGTCCAACCAAGGCCTCTTAGGATTTAACACCCTGTCCACCTTCCAGTCCTAATTATAGTACTGACCAATCTGGTAAATACTGGGTTAAATGTACCTGCATTCTCCAAGGCCTGGGGCCCTCCTGCCTCCCCTCACCACCCACCTAAGCAGGCTGTGGACAGTTTCTTGTGTGAGATTATCTAATCCTTGTGGCCTAAGAATGCAGATTACTTCTGTTTGGCCAAGAAGAGACAGTGTAGACTAGTGGTTAAGAACACAGTTTCAGAGCCAGCTAGCCTGGCTTCAAATTCTGGATCTGCCACTCAATAGTTGCATCATCTGGCAAATTAATTTAACTCTGTCTGCCTGTTTCTTTACCTATAAAGCAAGAGAACTAACAGTATATATTCTGAAGGGTTGTTATAAGGGTTCAGTGAGATTCATGTATGAAAAGTACACAGAGCAGTGCCCAGGACCCTGACGGTAATGGTGGTGTTAGCCATGGTTGCTGTGTTCCAACTTGGCTTTCATTCATGGTGGGTGCATGCAGATACCCCACCATATGCAGTGACAGGTGCCAGTCACCAGGCACTTTGCAGACAGGGAGAAGGAGACACAGCCCTGCCCTCAAAGAGCTCACACTCTAGCAGAAAAGCACAGGACAGTGATTTCAGGTGACAGGAAACGGAGTGCATGCAAGGGGTAGTGAGTGGGCACGTGAGGAGAGGGCATCTTTGTCTCCCAAGGAACTCAGGGATCCTTTCACTGAGGAGCCCTTCACCAAGGAGGTTTTTCTTAAGCCGAGGGGTGAAACAAGACTGGGGATTGGTCAGGCAGACAGAGAAAGGCACTGCAGGTGGAGGGAACGGCCTATGTGGAGGCATGGAGGTGACACAGGGGTGAGCGATCGTGGTGCACTCACATTGCACCACGTGGCACAGCTGGATGGGGAACCAGGCAAGACAGGGTCATGCCAGGCTTGTAGCGAGACACCCAGGAGGTCAGATTTTGCCCTGCAGCCCATCCGCCTTGTGCAGTGGGGTTCACCCTCTGCCCCCTCCTTGTGTAGGAGCTCCAGGAGCTGGAGAGGAAGCTGGAGGACCAGCTGGTGCAGCAGGAGGCGGCCCAGCAGCAGCAGGCCCTGGCGAGCTGGCAGCAGTGGGTGGCCGATGGGCCCGGGATTCTGAACGAACCTGGGGAGGTGGATTCTGAACGACAGGTCTCTACTGTCCTGCAGCAAGCCCTGAGCAAGAGCCAGACGTTACTGGAGCAACGTCAGCAGAGGTACGCTGTGTGCCCCATGGTACCCGAAGATGTTAGTCCCCAGCAGGCCTGGAGAACCTGCATCTCCAACTCAGCCCGACCGCACACACCTGGGCTCTCACCCTCTTGCCTAAGGTGTCATCCCATTGCTCCACACGAGCTGCTAGCTTTGTAGCGTACTCCTTCTTCCCTGACACCCTTCTTTTTTAAATTTAATATCATTGACATTTTACTAAACATAATATTTTTAAACTTTTTATTTTGAAATATAGACTCACAAGAAGTTACAAAGATAGTAGGGAGAGCGCCATATACCCTTCCCCCAGCTTTCCTTCTCGGTAACATCTGACATAATCACGGTACGTGAATTGACATTGTCACAAGACAGCGGACTAGATTACAGGCCTTATTCCAATTTTACCATAAACGTAGTATTTTATATTCTGCTTTTGTAAAATTATAAGACAGACAGACCCCTAGTCTTTTTGTTGTTCTTTATATTGTTTTTCAATTCACATTAGACACTTAGCCTTGGCTGGGGCATTAAGAATCCTTGGAAAAACACAATTTTTAACAGCTTCATAATTTTCCACTGTGAATAAAAAATGGACATGGAAAGGATTGGAGGCAAAGTCTATACACAGTGTGGTTAATTTTTGCAAACACTCGCATACACATTAATTGGAAGGAAATAGACCAAATTTCAGATTACAGATTATTTTCTTTTATCCTACCACACTCTTCTGTGTAAATGCATCAAAGTGCAGTTCTGTCCCATTGAAATAATTGTGAGGGGGCTCAATCTGTATTGATTTGATTTAACCTGGGATTTTAGGGCATATAGTATTCATATGCTCCTGGAGGAGATGACTTGTGATCAAACTTTTGATTTGATTTGCACCTGCAGAAGATTTGGGGTGTATTAGCCAGTAAGAGCGTGAGGCAGATCCAGGAAGCTGACTTGAATTGGCCAAGGCATGTGTTAAGCAGACCCCCTCGTGTGGGCATCAGGAAGCCTCATGTGAAAAGGTGCCATCCTTTGATTCTGGGTCCACTTCAACCCAAGGGCACATGGTGGGTGTAGACCCCAGTCTTCTTGGTCATCACCATGAGGACTGATGCAGAGTTTTCAAAGCAGCATCACAGAGATCGGCCTGTAAAGCTATAGGAAAGTCTCCTTATAGCTCCCATGAAACTTTTCACTTTGAGGAGCCTTCCTCCTGGGGGACCCTCCTTGACACGTTATTTGCAAACTAGCCTAGGCAAGAAAAAGAAGGCAGTCTTTCTGGCCATCTCTTTCTGTGGACATATTTTTAAAATCATGTGGCTTAGATGTGTGCTTCTTTGTTATTTAAGTAACTAGATGATCTCATAGTATAACTTTGTAACATCCCATAGTATTACTTTATAACAAAACCGAACTCACGTATATTTTATTTTCACTCCAGTCTGAGAGAGGAGCAACAGAACAGTGTCGTGCTAGAAGACTTGCTGGAAAATATGGAGGCAGACACCTTCGCAACCCTGTGCAGCCAGGTGAGCACCGACTGGCCAGGTCTGAGGCCGCCCCTTGCCAGCACGTCATTTCATGTTTTTCTCAGAATTCACATTTCCTCACCTCCAGGATGGTGATGAAAAACCAGCCTTGGAACCTGCAGAGCAGATGTGTGCAGAGCCTCTAGCATGGGCCCAGCACACAGAGGACGCTCAATCAGTGCTAATGGCGGCAACCACAACCGTAATCACGTGTGCCCCGGTCATGTCTTTTCTGTGATTTGGCAGGCACCCAAATATTCTCCTTCTTCTCAATCTTTAACTAAGTTTAATATACAAAAAGTAGGTTCTACCAGGAACAAAGTGGGTAAGAGAAAACTGGGCCAGAGCCATCAATCAGTGAGACTGCACCCCACACTACACCTCTGAGTTGAGATCAGTCAACCTTCCTCATCCTTGGCCAGAGCTGCAGACTCACCTCCCTTCCTGATACAGAGCCCTGAGGCTGTGCGCTGAGCCTTATGCAGTCATGTACCTGTCTGCCTGCTACCATTCAGGTTTTATACACATCCTGCAATGGGTTTCCTGTGCTTCTGGTGTCTGTAAGTAGCAGGAAATATGACTTCAGACGGTGGTGAATGCAAGCCACATGCCTCTGGAGAGGTGCTTGCTGATGCAGTGATATCAGGGTCATGTGCTGCGATTCTTTCCACAGTTCCTTCTCACAGTTCCAGCTGCCATAACTTTCAGAGCAAGGAGGTAAGAGGTCAAAGAACTGCCACCACATCTGTTCTTTCTCATCAAGGAAGCAAATGCCTCCAAGTCCCTGCAGCAGATTCCCCTCACAACCTGAGAGCTGACCCTGGGCCCTGTTCGCTGCAGGGGAGGTGCGGGTCACTTACTCTCCAGCCTCCGAGAAGGGAGTCAGCAGGGAGGAGGAGTTGGGGCGCTTTTATGTGTCCAGCTGGCTGCGTCCACAGGCACACCCAGCTTCCCGAATGGATTCGTTTCCTATCACTGCTGTCACAAATGACCACCAACAACAGCAGCTTAGCACAGCTACAAACCTACCTTCTGTAGGTCAGAAATCCAACATGGGTTTCTCCAGGCTAAACTCAAGGTGTTGGCAGATTTGCCTGCCTTTCAGAAGCTTTAGGGGGAGAATCTGTTTCCTGCTCACTCAAGTAATTGGCAGGGTTCAGCCCATGGTGGTTGTAGGACTGAGGTCCTTATTTCTTTGCTGGCTGCCAGCCAGGGGATATTCCTGGCTTCTGGTGGCACCTACATTCCTTGGCTCATGGCCTCCTTTCTTCATCTTCAGAGCCAGCAAGCGTCCTCATCACATCTCTCTCTGACCTAACACAGCAGGGAGGGTCTCTGCTTTTAAGGACCCACGTGGTGATTATGTTGGAACCACCTGGATAATCTAAGATAACCACTTTCCCATCCTATCTCAAGGCCCCTAACCTTACTCCCACTTGCAAAGTACCCTTCGCCTTGTAACATGACATCTTCGCAGGTCCCAGGATGGGACCATGGACATTTTGGGGAGGGGTCATTATTCTGTTGACTGTACCAAACAAGGTGCCAGTGTTAGCACTGGAGTGACAGTGTCCAAACAGGGCAGGGGAGGAGCTGGTGCTTCCTGAACACTGCCATACCCTGAGTATTGTTCTAGGCACTTCTGTCTGTTATTCATTTAATCCTTACAGAAAGATGGGAAACAGGCAGGATTCCCCGGTTTTATGAATAAAGGGACTGAGGCACAGAGGGGTGGTGAGGGTAGGAGAGCTCACCACTGCTCGTGGCGGGCTTGGGATTCAGCCCAGCGTGGTGCTGCACAGCTTCGGCTCTTCCTGACCGGCTCTGAAGGGTCTGAAGCAGATGACCACTCCGGCCTGTGTCTCTGCGAAACTGGGCCATCTCCCACTCTCAACTTTGATTCCCCCGCCTTTTTCTTTGTTACTTTGAGACTTCACAGAAAGCCAGCGTTACCAGTGGAATTTCACCCAGGTTCATTTCTAGATTGTGGTTCCTTTTAAATTGTGAACTCTGTATGCATCTCAGTCTGTTTCTGCTACTATATAAAATTCCTAGACTGGATAATTGATAAAGAATAGAAATGCTTTATCAATTTTCTCACAATTCTGGAGGCTGGAAAGTCTGAGATCAAGGCACCTGCAGATGCAGGGTCTGGTGAGAACTGCTCTCTGCTTCCAAGATGGTCCCTTGTTGCTGCATCCTCTGGAGGACAGCAAAGCTGTGTCCTTATGTGGCAGAGGGAATGGGAAGGTAAAAAGGGCTAAGCTAGTTCCCTGGAGCCCTTTTATAAGACACTAATCCCATTCTTGAGGACAGAGCCCTCATGACCTCATCACCTTCAGAAGGCCCCCCTTCCTAATACAGTGGCATTTGGGGTTAAGTTTCAACATGAGTTTTGGAAGAGACACAAATGTTCAAACAATAGCATTCTGCTGAAGAATTGGCTCTATGAGGAATAAATGCTGCCAGACCGGAAGCTGTGGGCAGCAGGGAGCAGGTAGGCTCTTGTTTTTCTCTGTCCCCAACTTGGTGCTTTGTATAGTCTGCCCAATAATATCTACTCAGCTGCATTTCTTTCTTCCCAACTCCCGTGTAATAAAAAGAGTCCTCCAGAGAAACAGAACTGATAGGATGCGTCCCTGTAGAGAAAGAGATTTATTGAAGGAATTGGCTCCCATGATTGTGGAAGCTGGTGAGTCCAAATTCTGCAGGGTTGACCTGCAGGCTGGAGACTCAGGAAGGAGGTGCAATTCGAATCCCAAGGCCATCTGCTGAAAGGATTATCTTCTGCTCAGGGCTGGTCAGCCTTTTTGTTCTCTCCAGGCCTTCAGCTGATGGGCCGAGGCCAGCCACATTATGGCAGGCAATTGACTTTCCTCAGAGTCCATCAATTTAAATGTTAATCTCATCCCAAAACGCCCCCATAGAAACAGCAAGAGGAATGCTTAACTGAGCATCTGGGCACAGTGGCCCAGCCAAATGGACACATAAAATGAACCAGCACATCCAGTCTGGAAGATGGCCACTTCACTCCCAGCTCATCGCAGATCTGCAAAAGAAATAGGTACTAAATGAACTCTGAAACAAAAGGGCCGCCACACAGGATTCAAGCACACCAGGCCCTGCACGACTCAGTACTTGAAGTTTTCTTGGGAGAAAAGGCTTGTAGATTTTATCACATACCCTAAGGCATCCCTGTGTCATAAAAAAGGCCAGCAACAATGCTCATGGAAGCCATGTTTTGCCATTTTCTTTTTGTACCAGAGAAAAGAACCATCAGAGCAGCTCAGTTCCCCATTTCTCTCTTTGTCCTTCTTCCTCCTGCTGCTCCTTCATCCTGAGGAGAGGAGCAGAGAGAAAGTAGGGAGAGAGGCTGTCCACTGGCCACTCCGGGCCTCTCTGTCACCCTCGTCTGCCTAGAGAGCTGTGTCCCTGTGTTGCTTTATGGTCCGTTTCTTTAATTTTTTTTTTTTATTTTAATTGGGGAACAGGTGGTTTTGGTTACATGGATAAGTCCTTCATTGGTGATTTCTGAGATTTTGGTGTACCTACCACCCGAGCAGTGTACATTGTACCAATGTGTAGTTTTTTTTTGGTTTTTTGTTTGTTTGTTTGTTTGTTTTGTTTTTTGAGATGGAGTCTCACTCTGTCACCCAGGCTGGAGTGCAGTGGCACGATCTCAGCTCACTGCAACCTCCACCTCCCTGGTTCAAGCGATTCCCCTGCCTCAGCCTCCCGAGTAGCCAGGATTACAGGGACATGCCATCACGCCCAGCTAATTTTTTTGTATTTTTAGTAGAGACAGGGTTTTACTATGTTGGCCATACTGGTCTCAAACTCCAGACCTCAGACAGTCCACCCGCCTCGGCCTCCCAAAGTGCTGGGATTACAGGTGTGAGCCACCACACCCAGCCCAGTGTGTAGTCTTTCATCCCTCACCTCCCCACTCATTCTTCCCCCTGAGTCCCCAAAGTCCATTATATCATTCTTATGCCTTTGCATCCTCATAGCTTAGCTCCTGCTCATAAGTGAGAACATACAATATGTCGTTTTCCATTCCTGAGTTACTTCACTTAGAATAATGGCCTCCAGCTCCATCCAAGTTGCTGCAAAGGCCATTATTTCATTCCATGTTATGGCTGAGTAGTATTCCATGGTGTATGTGTACCACGTTTTCTTTATCCACTTGTTGATTGATGGGCACTTAGGTTGGTTCCATTATGTTTGCAGTTGTGAATTGTGCTGCTATAAACATGTATGTCCATGTGTCTTTTTCATATAATGACTTCTTTTCCTTGGGTATATACCCAGCAGTGGGATTGCTGGATCGAATGGTACTTCTACTTTTAGTTCTTTAAGGAACCTCCATACTGTTTTCCATAGTGGTTGAACTAGTTTACATCCCTGCCAGCAGTGTAAAAGTGTTTCGTTTGTGGTCCATTTCTGTCTGTAGATAGTGGCATCCCATTCAAAGCTCATGACCCATGTGGATGCTTTTTGTGTCACCAATTTTAGTAAGACTTGACCCAGTGAATTGACTTGTCTGGAGGATTACTGATCGGGGACTACTGGAACTGGAAGGGCTGTGACAATGGGCTGACCTGTCCCTACATTGACTGGTGGGATCCCAGCTATAAAGGTTTAGACCCCTGCCTCAGGAAGAGGTGAATATGCAGGGTGTTTATGAAGTTACTGTTTATCCATCTTGTATCCAACAAATGTTGGTCACTCTGTCTGTTCCAGGAACTGGATTAAGTGCTAGGGACAGAGAAGCACGTGTCACTGACTTCATCCTAAGAGCCTAGTTCCAGAGGCACACTAGGAATGGGACAGTTACAGCAGAGTTGCTTAAAACCAATGCGAGGGACACCTGACCCAGAAGATGGGATCGGGGAAGACTCATGTAGAGTCCAAAAGAATGGGCTGGAGAGAGACAGAGAGTAGCCTGGGAGAAATATACCCCAGGCTGAAGGAAGCTCATGGGTAAGGGCTTAGTGGCCTGGGCGAGCAGGATGGTCAGGGAAGAACGAGTAGTTCAGTGTGACAGTGCTGGGAGGCCATGGATGGGAAGCGTCAGGACGTGGAAGGAGCTTTGGTATTGGGAACAGCACCTTGTCCCGTGCCTTCACTGAAAGCACTTACCAAGGTCATAGTGACCCCATGTTTCCAAGTGGTCGAGTCCCTGTCTTTGTTTCTCCTGACCTCTCTGTGGTCTCTGATCCCCCAGCCCACCCTTCTGAACACATTCTTTCCTTGGCTTCTGGCACCTGGACTCGTTCCCTCCCACCGCTGGTGCCCCTGTGCAGGCCCCTTGCTGGACACTGCTCCTTCTCATGGCCTTTGTGTGTTGGACGCCTGATAGCTCTGTCTTTGGGCCTGTTTTCCTCTCCAGCTATCCAAAGTGCTGGGATTACAGATGTGAGCCACCATGCCTGGCCAAAGCTTCTAATTTTGAAATTATTTTAGATTCACAAGAAGTTACAAAGCTAGTATAGAGAGTTTCAGGGCCCTGCTCCCCATTTTCACTCAGTTTCCCCCAATGGTTCCTGTCAGACAGGATCAGAACCAGGAAGTTGACATCGATGTAAAATGTACGTATAGTTCTCTGTCATTTTTATCCTATGTACATTCATGTAACCAGCAGCACCATCATCAAGACACAGAGCTGTCAACCACCACAAAGGCCACCCTGGGCTGTCCCTTTAAGGCCACACCCACCTCCCCTGCCCCACCCCTGGCATCCACTGCCGCTCTCCAGCTTCAGGTCTCACCACGCCCCGGTGGTTCCATGCATGGAGTCACGCAGCATGAGACCTTTGGAGACCGGCTGTTTCCACTCGACATAATGCCTCTGGGATCCTTCCAGTTCTTTCTTCTGACCGCGGAGTGGTATCCTGTGGCATGGGTATAGCACGGTGTCTTTAATTGTCCACTGGTTTAGGGACACTTCTGTTGTTTCCAGAGTCCGCACTGCTCTCCTGGTGCCTAATGGCCTCACGGAATGTTGAGGAGCGGGAGGAGAAAGTACCTTCGTTTTGAATCACCCTGCTGCAGGGCTTTTGCTGTGGGGATTTGGGCACTGCCCCAGTGACTTGAGAGCAGTTGGACGGGATGGACGGAGGCTTTAGAAGGGTCCTGGGGAGCCAAGGTTGCTGACCAAATAGGTTTTTTTTTTGACAGCTCTGAAAGTTCGGGAACATGTTTTCCAGACGAAGCTACTGAAATATTCATCACTCCAGGACAGAATGTCCTCAGAATGTGATAAATTAAAAATGGTGGTTCAAGTTGAGAGGCGGCCAGGATCTGAGCTCCCTCCGTTGTTTCCTGTAGGAGCTGAGACTGGCATCGTACCTGGCGAGGATGGCCGTGGTGCCCGGGGCCACGCTTCGCCGGCTCCTGAGTGTGGTGCTGCCCACGGCCTCACAGCCTCAGCTGCTGGCCCTGCTGGATTCGGGTAGCGAGAGACATCCGGACCACGCAGCTGAGGGCGATGGCGGAGCGGAGCAGGCCGATGTGGGCAGGCGGAGGTGAGTGCCGTGGAGGGGCTGCCTCCCGGGGCACGTCGCTGTCCAGAAGGGGCCCCGTGAGTCCTCGAGGTCATGGGAGGCCCATGTATTTTGCCCATACTTTCTAATTTTGTCACCAATTTATTTTTTAAATAGAATCTTAATAAGTTTACGCACAGCCATAAATATTTCATATATGCCCATTAAAGAAAATGTAAAACATGCATAAACAAGGAAGAAGGCCGGGCGCGGTGGCTCAAGCCTATAATCCCAGCACTTTGGGAGGCCGAGACGGGTGGATCATGAGGTCAGGAGATCGAAACCATCCTGGCTAACACGGTGAAACCCCGTCTCTACTAAAAAATACAAAAAAAAAACTAGCCGGGCGTGGTGGCGGGCGCCTGTAGTCCCAGCTACTTGGGAGGCTGAGGCAGGAGAATGGCGTAAACCCGGGAGGCGGAGCTTGCAGTGAGCTGAGATCCGGCCACTGCACTCCAGCCTGGGTGACAGAGCAAGACTCCGTCTCAAAAAAAAAAAAAAAAAAAAAAAAAAAACAAGGAAGAAGAGAGAGAAATATCCATGGTTTTACCACCTGGAAAAATGACTGTTAGCATCCTGTTACATTTCTTCCTCCAGAATGTGTTTCTCTGCAAGTGTGGGAGCATGTGTTTGTGTGTTGGTACGTGTGTGTGTGTTGTGCATGTAAATATGTGTATTTGTCAAGTGTGGAGTGCACACACTGTGGATACAGCCTTGCTACATTCTGCATTTCAGAATCTTATAGCAGAAGCGATTTTGCTCCTTACCTTTTAACGCTCATGTAAACATCCCCCTATATAATTCTTATCCCATCACTAGATTATATTTCCTCCTAGTGTTATTAATTTAAATTTTATTCTTTCAACGTAATTGACACTGGCACAGGTGGATATTATTTTTACTGGCTCCTCATGCTAGTGGGTGCAGTATAGAGCATGTAACTGTCATTCTGTCACTGGACATTCGGTTTGGGCCCATTTTTTCCTTAATTATGGGTAACTCTGCATAGACAGTCTCCTTTAAGATGGGGCCCCACGTGTGAATTTGGTCAGTAAAGGTTCTCTATGGGGAAAGGCAGGAAGGGGTGTGGAGTAAGGCGGGTTTAGGGGGCAGCCAGCAGTGCCCCTTGAGAATGAAGTAGGTGGGGAATGAGGCTGCAAGGAAAGCCATGGCCAGGATGAAAATGTTGAGCACCAGGCTGCAGAGCTCACAGCCTCAGCAAGGATGCAGAGGAGGCCGGGCGGGCATCTGGGAGCCCGAGAGCCTGCTGAACTGTCATGATTGTGTAGATAGCATTTGTCCGGAGAAAAGGGGTAATGTTTTCCTTATCAGAGATACTTTTTATCAGAGTATCTGACTCAAAAAGCCAAGAAGCACTGCAGAGGGTGAATAGAGTCTGACTGGGGTGAGGGGGAGGGTGGGGAAAAGGGAACAACAGCCGCGGGTGTGGGCAGGAGGCTACAGGGGCGAGGAGCCTTCCTAGTGGCTTTGGGGCCCAGCATGGTCAGGAAGTGGGATGTGGACCGCAGTTAGAGGGCTGGGTTTAGTCTAGTCAGAGGGCTGGGTGTGGGCGTGGCATCAGAGGGCTGGGTATGGGCGTGGTCAGAGGGCTGGGTGTGGGCGTGGTCAGAGGGCTGGCTGTGGGTTGAGGTCAGAGGGCTGGGTTTGGGCATGGTCAGGGGCCTGAGGTCAGAAGGCTGGCTAGGTGTTAGGGGCCAGAGGTCTGGTTGTGGGTGTAGTCAGAGGGCTGGGTGTGGGCTGGTCAGAGGAACAAGAGGGAGCCACAGGGAGGCCACCTCTGCCAAACTGAGTGTCCAGTGACAGGATGACAGTTACATGCTCTATGCTACGCTCCTCCATGGAATATTAGGAGCCAGCCGTATTAATATTATTAATAATATTAAAAATAAAACCAGGTTTTGCAGCCTGGTTTTCCCAGTGCACTGTTTGCCTGCCTGCACAGACATGTAGGTGGCAAGTATTCAAGGAGGTGACTCTGGAGTAGGAACGTGTGTGGCTGCAGGGAGGCCACTTGCGCCTGCCTGCCACCCCTGTGGACCTTGTTTTTGGTGCTTCCCCTGCAGCCAGCTTAGTTTGGGAGGCTGGTGGGGAGAGATGGACAGGCTAAGCTGGGACGAGGCCAGAGGGCTTGAGGTCAGTGTCACCATGGGCATGAGCATGGCCTTTCTTTGCCCAGCCTCATGGCCGGGTAGCCTGGATGACTCAGGAGTCCCAAGCCACTAACCCAGTCTCTGAGGGCAAGGCATACACTATTCTTGTGTCCCCAGCACCTGGCATCTGGCCATTACATCAGTTACGAGTCTTGGGTTTCAAGCAATAGGAACTGCATAGTTAAACCAAGCAAGAATGGGTTGTATTGAAGGCCATGTCAGAATCCAGGAAAGAGCCAGTGCTCAGGCCCCAGCAAGGGCAGGGCCAGGGAAGCACTCGGGGTGTCCTCTCTGGGGTGCTGCCTTCAGAGGACCGCCCTTCTCTGCTCCAGGAGTTAGACTCCTGGGAGACGGCCTGCCTGGCCCAGTGTGGGAGAGGCTCCATCTCCACCACCAGCTGGGCAGGTGTGAGCTGCCAAGGCAGGGGAATGAGTCTAGCACTTCCTTTATAGACTTGACACCTCCCACTCTCCCGGGCAACACTCTCCAATGCCCTCTGCTTCAGTCTAGGACCACACACCTTCGTGGCTTTAGGGCTCCCTGCCTAGCCCACCTTCCAGGCTTCCCCTGTGCTTTCCCAAGTTCTGTATTTGTATATGCATAAGGCACTTGTGGAGCTCCCACTGTGTCCTCTGTCTTAGGTACTAGGGCTATGCAGTGGGTAAGTGACAAAGCCTTGCCTGCGCAGAGCATTCATCCCAGTGGGGGAGGCAGCCAGTATGTAAGTCAGCGCACAGGTCCCATTCCTTTGTGAGTGCCCCAAGGGCTCCCTTTGCTCAAATGTCTCCCCCAATCCCAGTCAGCTTTCTTCTGTCTGTGATCCCCTAGACTTGGCCCCTTGAGGGCGGAGGTTGCGTCTTGATGAGGCTGGAGAAGGCGTTTGATGGATCTGCAGTGAATGAGTGAAAGAATAAATGGCGAATGCTTTGGGGATGCAGGAGTCCTAGTGGCAACCAAAGGTGGCATTGAGAGATGGGTAGGATTACTCATCACTTAAAGATTCTATTCTTTTTTTTTTTTTTTTTTTTTTGAGACGGACTTTCCCTCTGTTGCCCAGGCTAGAGTGCAATGGCGCAATCTCGACTCACTGCAACCTCTGCCTCCCGGGTTCAAGCAATTCTCCCTGCCTCAGCCTCCTGAGTAGCTGGGATTACAGGTGCCCACTACCACACCCAGCTAATTTTTGTAGTTTTTAGTAGAGACTGAGTTTCACCATGTTGGCCAGGCTGGTCTTGAACTCCTGACCTCAGGTGATCCGCCCACCTCGGCCTCCCAAAGTGCTGGGATTACAGCCGTGTGCCACCACACCTGGCCAAAGATTCTATTCTTTTTGAAACTATAAGACTCGCTTTTTGCCTGCAGGAAACACCAGAGCTGGTGGCAAGCCTTCGACAGCAAACTGCGAGGAAATCTGATAAGCAGAGGATTAGAAAAGATGCTGTGGGCCCGCAAGAGAAAGCAGAGGTAATGATGGGCCGCTGCCCGTGTGGCGGGGGGGCGGGTGAGCTAAGCTGCTTGTGGGCCAGGCTGGGGAGGCAGGAGATGACAAGGAAAAGGAGGTTGCTGCAAACAGACAAAGATTTGTGACCCTGAAGACCACAAATCTTTATTCAGTGGGCTGAGTTTAGAAGCTGAAGATGGGCTTGTGGCTAGCAGTGAGAGAATGTTCTCAATATTTATTAACATTTAAATTACTGTATTTATTTTAGCTAATGGCTATCTTTAATGGAATATAATTAGAAGAATTCCTTATAGCTACTGTTCACAAAGCCCTTTCATGTCTTGCTGCACTGAGCCTTCCAGACAGTGGGGATGATAAAATGGAAGCTCAGGGAGGTCACAACAAGAGGCCCCAGGCCAGCAGCTGGTAAACAGTGGCCATGAGATCTGGGGCTGCCTCACTGACCCCTTTATTTCCTTAAACTTCCAGCCTTGCGCTTTTTACCTTCACCCCAATGCCTTTTTCCTTAGTTGTGGCTATCACACACTTAGAGAACAGAAGCAAGTGAGGGGCAGAGTAGTCTTAAATTGCTGCAAAGTGTTGACCGGTGTCTCCTGTGATTCCAGCTAGGGAAGATGTAGAAACAAAAAGCAACATCACGTAGATTCATAGGCGGTTAAACAGTGATATCAGTGTGTGCGTGGTCTTAAATTGCTGCAAAGTGTTGACCAGTGTCTCCTGTGATTCCAGCTAGCGAAGATGTAGAAACAAAAAGCAACATCACGTAGATTCACAGGGGGTTAAACAGTGATGTCAGTGTGTACTCCGGAAACAGTGGCTGTTCAAGGGACGTGTCTACCTCAGTCCTGCCCCTTCCACAATTTCTCAGAGCTCAGTTGAAGGCGCTGAGACCAAGCTTCATGGATTGTTCGTGATAAAAAGCTTGGAACCATTAGTAGCCTGGTTATCATAATATAGTCTCAGATAAGTTAGATCAGGATATTGGCCAAGAGAAGTACATGCAGTCCTAGATAAAGAAAATTAAATTCGTTTTATAGAACTCTAAAATATTCCATTAGGGACATTCCTAGGCTGCACTAATAGAAGTGGAGTGGATACAGATCAAGAGACACGATGGTCCCACTGTCCTGGCTCCCTCTGTGGGCCTTTGCTCTGCCTAGAGGCACCATGGATCCATGGCTGAGAGATGGAGCTGGGTTTGAATCCTTGTGCAGACTTACTAGCTGCAAGGGCAGTAATTAGTGGTGATGGCAATGGAGCGGAATCTACCACATGCCTTCTGGGAGGCTCAGCAAGCCTGCAGTGACATGGAGCAGGTGCATCCCCAGTGACATGGCCTTGTCCTGCCCTGCTTGGGCAGAGAGCGAGCGCTGTGGCTTTCAGGATGTATAGGGCTCTTGGTGGTGGTCACCATCATTATCAAGAGCAGCCTGGGAGTCAGGGGTTGGACTGCCCATGGCCAGGATTCCAGCAACCTTTTTATGGGACATTCTCAAAGTGTGCCACAGTCTACTATGGCAAACACATTTTGCCTGACTTCTAACTGTTGCTTTGTAACCAGGTTTCACCAGCCTGCTTTTAGGGTGAGGCCCATAGGTGTACTCATAAATGTTTAACAATTGGCTGGTGGGGAGGCGGGCAGTGGTTTCTGATTGGTAGCATTTGCCAGTGTCCATGGTATAGGTATTCCCACCATGGCTGATCTGATGTCACACTAACAACATGACGACAGTTTGCAAAACCCCTGAAAATGGTCCAGGTGTGGTGGCTCACGCCTGTAGTCCCAGCACTTTAAGAGGCTGAGGTGGACGGATCATGAAGTCAAGAAATCAAGACCATCCTGGCCAACATGGTGAAACCTCGTCTCTATTAAAAAAAAATACAAAAATTAGCTGGGCGTGGTGGCACGCGTGGGTAGTCCCAGTTACTCAGGAGGCTGAGGCAGGAGAATCACTTGAACCCAGGAGGCGGAGGTTGCAATGAACCAAGGTCGCACCATTGCACTGCAGCTGGGCAACAAGAGCGAAACTCCATCTCAAACAAAACAAACCAAGAAACTCCTGAAAATGGAATGGTCATGAGCCAGGAAGAGCTGACTACAGTGCACCGCTGTTACAGGCTTCAGCTAATTCTACAGCAATCTGGTGACCAAGCGGGAAAATAACCTTTCTTTAAAATGGCACTGGGTTGGGGAATTCAGGACCCAGAGAGAGATTCTCTCGGAGAACTCAGAACACTCCAGCGGGTACATTGCCAAAAATGTTGAATTTGATCTTTTGTTCTTTCTTTAGCATATTAAAGAAGTCGTGTCTCCCTCTCAGAGAGAGGATGATATTCTCTGGAAAAGGAAGTTGGCCACACCTGTCACTGGAGCCCATTGGCGAACTGGCCCCTGTACCCATTGTCGGGGCAGAAACCATTGATGTATTAAACACAGGAGAGAAGCTCTTTATATTCAGAAATCCAAAGGAGCCAGAGATTTCGCTGCATGTTCCTCCCAGGAAAAAGAAGAACTTTCTGAATGCCAAAAAGGCCACGAGGGCCTTGGGCATGGACTAGCCCCAGGGAAAGCCCCGCGGGAGCATCTGAAGACAGAAGGGATTATTTTCTCCTGCCCACCAGTGTTGTCTGTTTATAATGTACAACTCACAAGTATAAATTGCACATGCAGAAGGCACAGAGCCCCCAACGCATGCAGACTTTCACGGACTCGGTTTAATCTTGTCTCATGAATTTCCAGATGGCCCACTCTCCTCCGTATCACAAGGACATAAACACTCCGTCCTTTCAGCCTCACCTCCCAGGGCCCTGGAGGAGACCCCCACCCTGCAATCCACACCCCATCCTCCGCTGCATAAGGTATGGACTGTGCGGTGACAGCCAGATTCTCTGCTGTTATGTTTTGTATTTGTTATATATTCTATTTTTATAAAGGGAACTTAAAAAAATAAATGTGTTTTGCACAAAGCTCTTTATAACAAAAGCTATGTTTGCTTTATGTAGCAAGCATTTATTTGTAATTGTGTCTTGCGTTTTGTTCCCTGTGTGGTGTTCAATAGAGAGATTCACCCTCCATCACTCCAGTTGCCAAAACACGTGCCAGCTCCTGGGGTCTACCGTCACCAATTCAAATCAGGGTTATTTTCCCATTTTACAAATGAGGAAATTCAATGGCATAGAAAACTGACGTGGTTTTTACAAGATCATAAAGCTCATAAATAACAAAATCAAGATTCACACTTTATGGCCCCCAAACCTTATCCTTTCTCCTGGCCTTGATCCACGGACACATAACAGCCCTCACACAGTTACCTATAAACAGACTCCATACAAGTGCTTGTGTTTTATCAAGTGCTTGTGTAAGTGCTAACCCTTCTCATCCACATAGCAGTGCGTGAGGCCGGTGATGGGTCACTAGGGCTGGGCCACATCACGGTATCAGCCAGGCAAATAGTACAATTACAATGGGTATTTTCTGACAGTAGGGGATGATTAGGATGAGAGTCCTCTCACCAGCAAGGGAAAAGAGGGATGATTGATAAAAAAATCACACATCTTTCACATGAGAGTTGCTGCTAGACCTTTCCAACAACTTTACTTTTTAATGGTCACTAATATCCCCAGCAAGGTGAGTATCCCTATTCCCATTTTACTGCCAAGGAAGCTGAGACTCAGAGTTTAGAGAATTTGCCTATAATCAAACCACTTATACGGGAGGAATCCTGAGTCTTCTAACTAAAATGCTATCTGCCTTGGATGTCCCGTTTCCATTGGCAACCAGAAGACCAAGTCTTATTTGCAGTTTCCCATCAGCATGCATGCAGCACCGTGACAAGGACCTTTGCTGGGGTTGCATTTCTCCCAGGGGACAGCAACCGTGCACCGTCTTCAGTTGCCACTTGACTACATGGCTACACTGGCAGGAAGGTGCAGGTAAACGGTTTGAATGCAGGAGAGAAGAGATGATGGTGCCGGTTTTCCCATCCATCAGAAGGTGCAGTGGGCCTCGAGTGAGGACAGAGAAAGAGGAGTGATTTTTACACACAGGGCAGCAGAGTGGAGAATGCATGGTCTTGGGAATAAGCAGACTGGAGTTCTCATCCTGCACCACTGCTTGATGGCCACGTGTTCTTGGCAAGCAGATACAATTGGATCTGTAAAGTCCACCACATCTATGTCCTTCTCCAGCTTTTTAAGGTAATTGTCTGCATTTCTGATAATTTCCTGTTTCTACAAGGGCTCTGCTAGAATTATGCGTAGTTGAAAGTAGGTTGCATGCAAAGATTTCAAAAAAATGGCTCAAAATTATAGGCTGAAGCCTGATTGAAGAGGCTGTTAGCAACAACAGGAGGTGCCCAAGCTGCTCAAAATCTAGCAGTGGAACCTAATTACAACTCCTTATGTTAATAGAGAAAGACTAACTACTGATTTACCTTGTGTAAACTCACTGCACAAAAAATGCCAGCATGTGTTGGGGAAAGCCTGTGTTTCTGGAGTCAGATTGACCAGGTTTAAATTGTGGCTCTACAACTTTTTAGCAGTCATTTTACTGCTCTGAACTTCAGTCTCTGTATCTGTAAAACAAAGGTCCTGATGCCTTATTTTACAGGAGGGATGTTGTAAAGAGTGAAGATACTAGATATTATGTCTATAATGTCTGATGAAATGTTGGTGTGCAATAAGGTAGCTTATTTATTTTATTTTAACATCTTTACAAAAATCTATCTGATATGTTTTGGCTCTGTGTCCCCACCCAAATCTCACCTTGAATTGTGATCCCCATAATCCCCGCATGCCAAGGGCAGGACCAGGTGGAGGTAATTGGATCATGGGAGTGGTTTCCCCCATACTGTTCTCATGAGCGAGTCTCATGAGATCTGATGTTTTATAAGTATCTGGCATTTCCCCTGCTGGCACTCCTTCTCCTTCCTGCTGCCCTGTGAAGAAGGTGCTGTTCTTCTCCTTCGCCTTCTGCCATGATTTTAAGTTCCGTGAGGCATTCCCAGTCATGTGGAACTGTGAGTCAATTTAACCTCTTTTCTTTATAAATTACCTAGGCTCATGTATTTCCTTACAGCAACGTGATAATGAAGTGTTTCTTTCATTCCTTTTGCCATTCTAGGTGAAGGCTATTTTCTTGAAGGGCTGTATCTTCACACAGAAGCCTACTCATGAGAGAGAAGCTCCAAGGAACTTGGATTTAGAGGACTTGAGCTCAGGTTTGGGCTTTGTTACTTAAAAGTGGGGCAAAGTTGAGAAATTTACTAAGCCTCTCTGGGGGCTCAGCTCCCTGTGTATTCTGTCTTCAAGGAGTTTGATCTAGTTGCATTGACTAACACAAAAATAAATAATTGGTAAATACAACTTGTAAGACACACATATAAAAATCCTGCCGTGGGAATTTGGGAGTGAGGTCAAACCTGGCAGGGGTCAACTGGGGACAGCTTTGTGCTTACGACTCCTCCACATTTCCACACTGCACTCTTTGGAAGGAAGTCACTATGAGCAGCACACATTTAAGGAATGGGGACGTAAGTCTGCCTCCTTGAGGGTAAAGTGTCTACATAGATAATTTGGAATTCTGCATGGGAGATGATCTCCTCTCCATTTATTTTTTCAATTATTTATTTCTATTGGTGTGGACTCATGGATATTTATTTTATACTTTGAGTTATAATCCAATAATAATTTGTTGCTCTAATTGTTCCAGCTTTCAACATTGGGAGCTCTTTCTGTTGTCTCCCATATCCCTTTAACATAACCCCATCAGTGCAGATTTTTAAGTTTTTCTGAGTACTTCCTTATTTTCTGGCACTAGAAGATGTTCTAAAAGGTGAGCATTATAAAAGATAAGCACTAAAAAAGATTCTCATCTTTTATGTTTCCAGTCCTAGAATCAGACATTCTCCAAGGAGTCTGATTCCTTTTGTTGGAGAATGGTATTAGAAACTAAACTCTGAGCTCTAGATGTGCTTATTGCTACTGGAGTGTTGTTACTTCTAGGCCCTCTAAGCTGACAGAGCAAGAAAGTATATGTGTGCTTACTAACCTGTTTATATACACATGTCCATTAATACTTTCATATGTAATAATCTGTGTCTATATTATGCTGAATATGAATTTACTGATGTCTCCAACACAAATCTATTGCCACATGGATCATTCTGGCCTTCTCCCCTTTTCTTTTTTATTATTATTTTTTTGAGACATGGTCTTATTCTGTCACCCAGACTGGAGTGCAGTGGTACAATCACAGTTTACTGCAGCCTTGACTTTCTGAGTTTAAGTGATCCTCATACCTCAACCTCCCAAGTAACTGGGACTACAGGTGCATGCCACTGCACCTAGCTAGTTTTGTTTGTTTGTTTGTTTGTTTGTTTCTGTAGGGATGGGTTCCCACTATGTTGTCCAGGCTGGTCTCAAACTCCAAGACTCAAATGATCCTCCCGCCTTGGCCTGCAAAGTGCTTGGATTACAGGTATAAGCCACCACACCTGGCCCTTCTCCTCTCCATTCCAACAGTGAAAAACGTGGCTCCCATCATTTCCCAGCCATTTACTTAAGTGGTCAGGTCCACTACATGTGTGGAGCATCATCAGGGTTTTGATAACCTGGACCCATGTGGGAAACAGCTTTCTCAGTAGAGTACTTATGTGCAGTTTCTTTTGCATTTAAAGACTTCACTCATTTCCAAAGTTACTTAGGTCGGCATCTTTTTCTTCCAACCTCTTCAGTGAAGTTGTTTCTTACATTTGAAATGCAGTTAGATTATTTTGACACATTCTGCATTGCTTCTTAGAATTCTCTGGATTTCTTAAATGATTTTTTTAATCTGCATATGATAAAGTCAATTTTGCATTGACATGGCACTATGTATTTGTTAAAATGATTGTATAAAATGATATAAATTTGTATAAAATGATATATAATCATTTTAACAAGCACATATTGCCATGTATCCATAATTACACTATCATACAAAGTAGTTTTACTACCCTAAACAACTTCCTGTGTTCCACACGTTCAATCTTTACCTCCTCCACCTGAACCGCTGGCAATCACTGATCATTTTACTATCTCTAGAGGTTTTGCCTTTCCTAGAATGTCCTTATAATCGGAATTTGTCAAAGGTCAGTTAACTGTATTTGTGTGGGTCTGTTTCTGGGCTCTCTGTTCTGTTCCAGTGATCTGTGTGCCTGTTCCTTCACCAATTACATACTATCTTGATTACTGTAGCTATATAATAAATCTTGAAATTAGTATGAGTTCTCCAACGTTGTTTTTCTTTAGCATTGTTTTAACTCTGTAGGTCTTTTGGCATTCCATATAAACTTTAGGATCAGTTTGTCATTATCTGCAAAATAACTTGCTGGAATTTTGATTGATATTCTGTAAAGATCTATAGATTCCATAGGTCAGGTTGGGAAGAATTGACATCTCCATAGTATTGAATCTTCCAAATCATGAATATGAAATATTACTCCTCCATTTGTCTAGATCTTTTGATTTCCTTCATCAGAGTTTTATACTTTCTGGATACAGATCCTGTACATATTTTTAGATTTAAACCTGATTATTTTATTATTTTAGGTGGTATTTTAAATGGTATTTTTAACATTTCAAATTCCAATAATTTATTTCTGATATATAGGAAAGCAGTCAATTTTTGAACATTAACCTTGTATCCTGCAACCTTACTATCCTCACCAATTAGTTTCAGGGGTTTTTCGTTTGTTTGTTTTTGGTCAGTTCTGAAATGTTCTGTATAGACAATTAAATTGTCATCTGAGAACAAAGACAATTTTATTTATTCCTTTCCAATTTGTATATGTTTTATTTCCTTTTCTTGTCTTATTGCACTAGCTAGGATTCCCATATGATATTGAATAGAAGTAGTAAGAGCACATCTTGGCCTTCTTCTTTTTTTTTTTTGAGATGGAGTCTCACTCTGTCCGAGGCTGGAGTGCAGCGAGGCTGGAGTGCAGTGGCCGGATCTCAGCTCACTGCAAGCTCTGCCTCCCGGCTTCACGCCATTCTCCTGCCTCAGCCTCCCGAGTAGCTGGGACTACAGGCGCCCACCACCACACCCAGCTAATTTTTTGTATTTTTTTAGTAGAGACGGGGTTTCACTGTATGAGCCAGGATGGTCTCGATCTCCTGACCTCATGATCCACCTGCCTTAGCCTCCCAAAGTGCTGGGATTACAGGCGTGAGCCACTGCGTCCGGCCATCTTTGCCTTATTCTTGATCTGAAGAGGAAGCATCCAATTTCTCATTATTTAAGTATGAGATTAGATATAGGTTTTTTGTGTATTTTTTATCAAGTTGAGGAAGTGCCTCTCTATTGTGTGCTGAGAGATTTTATCATATATGTTTATTGAATTTCATCAAATACATTTCTGTATCAATTGATAGGATTTTTTTTCTTCAGCCTGTTGATGTGATGTATTCCATTAAATGATTTCAGAATGTTGAACTAGGCTTGCATAGGGAATAAATCCCACTTGGTCATGGTATATCATTCTTTTTATAAATTATTGGATTTAATTTGTAAATATATTTTTCAGGATTTGTTCATCTATGTTCATGTGAGATATAGGTCTCTAGTTTTCCTTTCTTGTATTTTCTTTATCTGTTTTTTGTATTACAGTTATACTCACCATGTGAGTTAGGAAGTATTCTTTCTGCTTTTACTTTCTAGAAGAGATTATGGAAAATTGATATTATTTCTTCCGTAAACGTTTACTAAAATTCACCAGTAAAATGACCCGAATCTGGAGCTTTCTTTTCTTGGAAGGGTACCAATTATAGATTAAGTTTCTTTAACAGATATAGGTTTATTTAGTTTATCTCCCTCACGTTGTGTGAATTTTTGTAGTTTGTGTCTTTCAAGGGATTCATTCATTTCACCTAAGTTACCAAAATTATGGGCATAGGGTTGGTCACAGCATTCTTTTATGATGCTTTTACTGTCCATGGGATCAATAGTGAGACTGCTCTTTCATTTCTGATATTGGTGATTTGCGTATTTTCTTTTTGTTGTTTTTTGTTTGTTTGTTTTTTATGGTTAGTTGGGTTAGCTGTTTGTCAATTAGATTGATGTTTTCAGAGAACCAGCTTCTGGTTTCATAAAATGTTCTCTCTATTGTTTTCATCTTTGCTGATTTTTGCTCTATTTTTTATTATCATTTTTTTCTGATTGCTTTAGCCTTAAATTGCTCATTTTTCTTTAGTATCCTAAGGTGGAAGTTTAGATTATTAATTTTACATCTTTATTCTTTTTTTAATGCATTTAATAGTATAAATTTCCCTTTAGACAATACTTTAACTGCAATACACAAATTGGGGTAAGTTGTATTTTCATTTTCATGTGGTTTAAAATATTTTTACCATTCTCTTGAGACTTCATTGTCCCATGTGTTGTTTAGAAATGTGTTATTTAATCTGCATATATTATGGTATATTCTATTTATTTCTCTTTTATTGATTTCTAGTTTAATTATATGGTGATCTGAGAGCATATTTTGTATAATTTCTATTATTTTAAGTTTGTCTTTTTTTTTTTTCCGGAGACGGAGTCTCACACTGTCACCCAGGATTGAAGTGCAGTGGTGCAATCTTGGCTCACTGAAACCTCCGCCTCCTGGGTTCAAGCAATTCTCCTGCCCCAGCCTCCTGAGTAGCTGGGATTACTGCCTGCCAGATGCCTGCCACTGTACCTGGGTAATTTTTTGTATTTTTAGTAGAGATGGGATTTCAGTATGTTGGCCAGGCTGGTCTTGAACTCCTGACCTCGTGATCTGCCTGCCTCGGCCTCCCAAAGTGCTGGGATTACAGGAATGAGCCACCATGCCCAGCCATTAAGTTTGTTGTTATGTGGCCTATCTTGGTGAATGTTTCAAGCAAAGTTGAGAAGATTTTATATTCTGTACTTATAGAAGAGATTATTCTGTAACTGTTAGATCAAGTTGATTGAGAATGCTGTTCAGGCCAACTGTGTTCTTACCGATTTCTTGCCTGCTTAATCTGTGAATTACTGAAGGAGGGGTGTTGAAGTTTCCAACTATAGTAGTGGATTTGTGTATGTTGAATTTGCATATATTGTTAAAAATATTGTGTAAATTTTTCCTTGCACTTCTATCATATTACACCTTATATATGGTGATGAATTGATCCCTTTACCATATGTATTCTGCTTCTTTTTCCTTAATTTTCTTGT